TTGGGGTAAATGGACCTCTGAGGAAATGTTTAAATCTGTCATTCCACACATTTAGTTTAAGATCAGTCTTAAATGTTGATTTGTGTTCTCTTTTTACCTCTCTCTCCTCTATTCCCATTTCCTTTCCCTATTAACCCTTCTCACGCTTTTCTGCTTTGTTTTCATCCCCATGTCCATTACATATGAAACAAACCCAAAGCAAATTCTAATGACGTTTTATTTATATATGAAGTGGAGCATTAAGGCCAGCCATAATGCTCTGCTTGTGAAAGTAAATCTGTTGGGCTTCACTTTGACACAGACAATAACTCCAAGTGTCATAATGCCAGACAGGACAAGGGGAAAAAAAAATCTGTCTTAAATTTTTCAGTGCATCAACTCCCATTTCGACCTGAACAAAGTTAAAGGCACAGTCTTCCTCAAAGGAATACATATTGCTTCATATCAACAGTTGTAGTCATTTTTGGATTGGGCAAGATTGTGCAACAGGTGGCAGCCAACTTAAATGGACTCCAAAAAAAACTATAAGATGTACATTCAATGATTATAAAATAAGATGTTTCTACTGGTTCATGAGATACTTTGCTAAGAGACAAAAACACTCACAGGCTTGCCTGTTGACAGCGAGTGATAACACTTTTTAGATTTGAACGCTACTGCACCAGTGTCTTAGATGCACTGAACAATATTTGTAGACCATCACAATGTCTATTGTCTGAATGAATTTTATTGTAAAACTGGGGATCCTGCTACTTGCTTTTGAAGCTGAAGCTGTTGGATAACTGAATTGAAGACAGTTAATTCAACAAAATCAACAAAGTAAATGACATGGACAAAACAAAATATTTAATTGTGATTCAGCAAATGAGTAAAAAACTTGTGTAAGAACAGTTGGACCTGCCTTGTCAGGGCTCACTCCTCTCTCAAACATCATCTTGAGGCTGTTAATGGGAACACACGGATTCTCCATGTCAGACCCCCCTGGTGCTGTCGTCTTTGCCCACTCCTCCTGTCTCTCTGGACCTCTGCTCTCCATCAGCTCGTCGGATTCAGGTGACGGAATGCTCTTGTCCTCCGAGTGAGCCTGGCTCTCTGGTTCTATGTTGTGGTTCTCAGAGTGTGTGGTAGTTCTTAGACTTTCATATTGTGGCTGAAATGGTGAGGAAGAAGGTGGAGGTTTGGTGAGAGGAGATGAAGAACTGTGGCAATGGGAGATTGTGGGACTGAGAGATTTGGTCAGAGGCTGGGAGATGAGACTGAATGACTGCAGCTGTCGTTGCTCCCAGCGTTTCTTCAAAACATTTAGATTACCACCAGACAGTGTGGAGGGCAGAGGTTCTGGAACCTGTAGAGAACAAGAACACTGACATAAATGCATTTGGATTGAATAAATCATTATTTGACTCTAATTAAAGGCTAGGGTTTTAGAGTCTTGTGTTGTCACATGTCAAACCTTCAAAAACAGAATCTCAATTCAGATTTTGCAGGACGTCATACTCAGTGTTGTGAATTGCTTTCAGATATTATATAACATAAGTTAAACAACAGAGTGCAGAACGAGTGGAAAGTACAGCGAGTGAGGAGAAAAATCGACATTACAGCAGCATAAGGCAGAGCTACAATAAACCACAAGTTCAAGTTGTGTTTGTCATATGCAAGGTTAACACAGGGTTAACAGTAGACACAGCCGGTATAATAGCACAAACACAAGCAAAATAAACAAAGCTGCCAAAGATGTAACAGGGCATGATATAAGAGAGCTGCCTATCCCGCAATAAAAGGTGCAGGAAATGCAACAAGTTGGGACACTTTGAAATTGTATGAAAAACTAAAATGCTAAAAGAAGTTGGAGCTGAGACACTACTGGATTCAGATGAGGATTCATTCTTAGAAAGAGCTTTTCCTAGGAGTTAAAACTACATCAAAGGCAACTGTCATTGAGGAGTCAAGTTCAGATACAGATTGGGACATTAAGCTACTTGTGAATAGCAGTCTGGTTGATTTAAAAATTGATATTGGAGCCGACACTACTGTTATGACAGAAATTACTTTCATGAAGCTACAGCAGAGACAAACTGACCCAGTCCAGGCAAACAGTGTACAGCCCAGGATGAAAAGTCAGGTGCATGGGTAAATTCCTTCATTGTATAAAGGGCAAAAATACTAGTATTGGACTACAGTAATCAAAAGGCAATATGCAAGCAACCTGCTAAGCAAAACTGTGACAAAGCACATTGGACTGGTTGCTAGAGTTAACCAAATTAATAGTGACTTAATAAAGGATGTGTTTGGAGAAATGGGACTACTGAACTGTACACTAGGGCATTAACAGAGTACTCGAGTAATCTACACATCGATTTCTAGGACATCTATCGATGTTAAAAATGTAAAGTCGGGTATCCGTAGTGACGTCATATTATGTGACCACCGTATGACCGTAGGGGGCGGTGTTGCACTGTTGCAGGTCACAGAGTATGGCGTAACACCGGGTCCTATCCACCGAACCAGAACCAGTTTCGGTTTAAGTTTCGTTTTTGAAGTGCTGCATGTTTCTTCACGTTTGCAGTTTAATAATAATAACTAATAGTTTAGTTTTTCCTGTGACTTATTTGCAGTATGATAAATGGTAGGAGCATAATATACGCTCCCAATGTTTTGTTGGTCTTTTATTTTTGTAAATAGTTACCTTTTTTTGTGGTTTTATTTATTTATTTATTTTTGTATCTTGAGATCTATGACGTCATCAAATACTCTAGTTCTACTCAGGTTTTATAATAATAATAATAATAATAATAATGTCATCACAATGTCAGCACTGTATGTTTCCATACAATGGCGAAATTAGTCTCTGCATTTAACCCATCCACCACCAGGTGGTGCAGTGGGCAGCTATTGAAAGCGCCCGGGGGACATTTTGGGGATGAGACGTGCTGCCCAGAGACGCCACGTGATGTGCAGTGACTGGGGATCGAACCTGGGACTTTCGGGTCCCAAGCCGGCTGCCCTGCCTCTACACCATCTCGGCCCCCATATATTATGTTAATGTCGAGTTTAAAAATTATATCCTCGTTCAACCCCTACTGTACACCTGTAAAAATAGAGTTAACGGACGATGCAGTGCCATACAATGTGAGCACATGCAGAGTTCCATTTCATCTCCTCCCAAAAGTGGAAAAAGAAATAAAGTGCATACTCAATTTTGGTATTATTGAAGAAGTTACTGGGGCAACAGACTGGTGTTCACCAATGGTGGCTGCACCAAAGCACAACAAAGACAGGATCAGAGTGTACATAGATAGATGTAAAACGTCTGAATAAGGGAGTCAAATGTGAACTATACATGCTGCCCACATTGGAGGATGTAGCTCCCAAGTTGGCAGGGACTAAAGTGTTCACCTTGAATGCATCCAACAGGTTCTGGCAAATTCCACTGGACTCTAGCTGCCAGAAACTGACAAAATTCATAACTCCAATGGGCATGTTTTGCTTCAAGCGCCTGCCATTTGGCATTCCATAAGCACCAGAGATCTTCCAGCGGCTGATGAGCGCTTTGCTCAAAGACCTAATTGAGACTTGTGATGGACGACATACTTGTTTTGGATCTAACAAAGAGGAGCACGATCATTGCTTAGATGTGGTTCTATGGACAATGAAAGTATCAGGCCTCAAGCTCAACAGGGCCAAGTGCCACTTCAGAAAGGGATAACTACGGTTCTTCGGGCACATCATCAGCACGGACGGCATGAAACCGGATGACAGCAAAGTGGAGGTGATTGCTAAGATGCCCAGCCCCACAAATGTGGAGCAACTGAGGCAGGTACTTGGACTAATAAAATATATGTGGTTAAATTTCTGCCAGGCCTGTCTACTATGCTGCATCCAATTACCAATCTACTCAGAAAAGAGACTGCATGGGTGTGGGGTGAGTTTAAGGAGCATTTAACAAAACAAAAAGAAATGCTCAAAGCAGTACCAACACTTGGTTATTATGACGCAGGCCAACCAACAGTTGTTAGTGCAGATGCCAGCAGCTATGGCCTGGGCGCTGTACTGTTACAGGACCATGATGGAGAGTTGCAGCCCGTTGCCTTCTGTTCTTGCACACTCACTGATGCAGATAAAATATATTCACAGATAAAAAAAGAAAGGCATTTGTTTGGGCCTGTGAATATTTTGCTCGATACATTCAAGGGATGGGCCATATACATGCACGTTTGAAGACCCGAACAGACCACCCAGCACCAGACTCATTTCACCACAGGATGAAGAGCATCTCAGCGTGACCTCAGTAGAAGTAAGGAGTACTTTCAGGAGGATTAACCCACATAAAACAACCGGCCAAGACAACATCCCTGGAAAAGTGTTGAAAGAATGTACCGATCAGCTCTGTGAGGTGCTATCAGACATATTTAACACCTCACATACCCTAGAGAAAGTTCCCATCTGCCTGAAGACTGCCACCATCATCCCAGTCCCAAAAAGCTCTACAGTGACTGGTCTAAATGACTATCGGCCAGTGGCCCTCACCCCGATAGTTGCTAAATGCTTCGAAAAACTGGTCACGACCCACATCAAAACAACCATCAACATCAACGAGGACCCTCATCAGTATGCATACCGTGAAAACTGATCAACAGAGGACGCCATCTCCTCTGTGGTCCACACTGCGCTCAACCACCTGGAGCAGAAAGACTACAGGCTACAGAGAAGCAGCACTGGACTGTTGCTCAGTGGTCCAAAGTACTTTTTTCGGATGAAAGCAAATTTTGCATGTCATTC